CATGATGTTCTTCTCTAGCAACTGGTCTTTCCTGATGACGTGTCCAAAGTAAGTGTCTCGTAGTTTCTCCATCCTCACTGCTAGTATACATTCTGGTTATATTTCTTCTAAGAGTGATTTGTTCTTCCTTCTGACGGTCCATAGTCCATTCCATTCCATTCTCTCTTCTATCCTCTATCTTCCTTGTTCATGGCCCAGCTTTTGCATGCATATGAGGTGATTGGCTTGGGTCAGATGCACCTTATTCATCAAAGTCACATCTTTACTTTTTAAAACTTTAAAGAGATCTTTTGTAGCAGATTTTATCAATGTAATACATCATTTGCTTACTTGACTGCTGCTTCCAAGGACATTGATTATTAATCCAAGTAGAATGAAATTCTTGACGACTTCAGTTTCTTCTTCATTTACCATGATATGTCTTATTAGTTCAGTGGTGAGGATTTTGTTTTCTTCACCTTCAGGTGTAATCCATACTGAAGGTTAGAACTTTTAACCTTCATCAATAAGTGCTTCAATTTGTGCTCATTTTTGGCAAGTAAGGTTGGATCATCTGTATACCACAAGTTGTTAATGAGCCTTTCTCCAATCCTGATGCCACATTCTTTTAGTATAGTCCAGCTTCTCAGAGTATTTATTCAGCATACAGATTGAGTAAAGAAGGTGAAAGGATACAACCCTGCTGTACCTCTTTTCCAATTCTGAACCACACAGTATCCCACCTTATTCCATCCAACAACTGCACTTCACACGAGCACAATCAAAGATTCCCAAGTTCCCAATCTTTGTAATGTCAGCCATCATTTACTATGATGGTTCCAGTTCAATGCCTTTGAGTAGTCAGTAAAAGCACAGTTTAACCTCTTTCGGGTATTCTCTGCTTTCAGCCAAGATTCATCCGACATCAGCAATGATATTCCTGATTCCATATCCTCTTCTGAAACAGGCTTCTGGCAGTTTCCTTTTGATCTATAACTGCAGCTGTTTTTTTAATTATTTTCAGCAAAACTTTGCTAGCATGTGATTCTAATAATATTGTTAAACAATTTCCTCTTTCCATTTTGTCTGTCTTTGGAATGGGCATGAATATGGATCTCTTCCAGTTGGTTGGCTAGGTAGCTGTCTTCCAAATTTCTTAACATAAATGAGCAGTGTTTCCAGATTTGCATCAACCTGTTGAAGCCTCTCAAGTGGTATTCTGTCAATTCTGTTTTCTTGCTATACCTTTTAGAAGGCAGCTTGATGATGCCTTGAGGCATATTAAAATATCCCCTATACTTACCAGCATTTCTTAGAAAAACTTTGTCTCCTCTAAATGATTACATGAACATAATTTTATCATTGTTGTGGGATAGTTGTGATTATTCAAACAATGAATCATAAAATGATTGCTGATTGCCAAGTGGTCTAATTATCTAACATCTCTTTATAACTCAAAATTTTTTAAATGTAGAACTTGTATCTTGCATATAATTTGACTAAGGGCAGAATTATTATAATATTCATTATATCTACTGCATTTACTATAAAAAATTCATAAAATTGACTTGTTACCTTATTACCCTCTAAAAGATAATGAAATCGCACAGATTTTCTTTAATCCAAATTTAATAGTTCCTGGTACTGCCTAGCTCCACTTTAGACATTTCTCTATGGAACCCTTGTGTAGATAATTCAAATTTCTGAATTGAAAAATATGTTTTTATCACATGAATGTACTGATCTACCTTGCCTTCTTTCACAATATCAAATTATATTCTGAAATGCGCCATCATTTGTCCCCACGTAAGCGGCAGTATTCTAGGCGAGATATTTATTTATTGATATCATCAGAGATGATTATTCAGAGTCTTTGTTGTGCTGTCATAAAACTAACACGTTATTTACATTTTATTTTTATTGTTTTCATAGTTTCTAACTTCACCATTGTGCCACTAAACATAATATCTTTTGAGTACTGTACATAATCATATGTATTTAATATGTTTACTGATGCTTGATAAGCCATATGCCTTTAAAATATTTCCTGCCAATATTACTGATTTCATCAACCTTTATTTAGTCAAAATCATGTATTTTTCTGGGGGAGGGGGGTGTCTGGAGATTAGACTGCTTGCTTAAATAGGAGCAGTAGTAAAATAGTAGTTACTGATACGTGTTCTTAGAATTTCAGAACTGGAACAGATCTTGTAGATAGACTAGTTCCTCCAAGTGTCCTAGAATATCATGCATCTGAATCATTATTTACATGATTCTCTCTGCTCCGTTGCCTTCTACTCATCTCCCGAAGTCCAAAGACACTCACCCTGGAGAATATTTCAGTTGCTACCACCGTCATAAAGTCTCCTTGATTCCCAAAGAGATAGATGATACTCTCAACTCCATAAATATTTTATATAGGCCTATCCCCTTCTATCTTGCATAATAGCATTGCATATAATGTATTATATATGTCTGTGTATATGTGTGTGTAACGACATATGGCATAGGACAAATTTTCTACAAAAATCCTCTTTAAAGTGTTAAAAAGCAAAGATGTCACTTTGAGGACTAAGGTGTGCCTGACCCAAGCCTTGGTATTTTCAATTGCCTCACAGGCATGCAAAAGTTGGACAATGACTGAGGAAAACCGAAGAACTGATGCCTTTGAATTATGGTGTTGCCAGAAGAATGAACAAATCTGTCTTGGAAGAGGTACATCCAGAATGCTGCTTAGAAGTGAGGATGCAAGACTTCATCCCACATACTTTAGACATGTTATCAGTAGGGATTAGTCCCTGGAGAAGGACATCATGCTTGGTAAAGTAGAGGATCAGCAAAAAGGAGGAAGACCCTCAACAAGATGAACTGACATAGTGGCTTCAACAATGGGCTCAAACACAGCAACGATTGTGAGGATGGCACAAGACTGGGCAGTGTTTCATTCTGCGGTACATAGGGTCTCTATGAGTCAGGACTGACCCGATGGCATCTAACAAAAACAACCTATGTCTATGTAAAAATTATATGTGTGTGTATATGCACATTTAGGAGCCTTGATAGCATAATGGTTATGCATTTGGCTGGTAACCAAAAGGTTGGCAGTTCGAATCCACCAGCCACTCCTTGGAAACCCTATGGGGTAGTTCTACTCTGTCCTATAAGGTTGCTCTGAGTTAGAATCAATTCAACAGCAGAGGGTTTTATATACACATTTATGTAATTTCTTCCCTAATAAATCAATATCTTCCTCCTGCTCCTTGTCCTCCCAAGCATACAAAAAAATGCCTACTATGGAGTAAAGTACCTCAGAGCGAACCTACAGGACAGAGTAAAACTGCCCTGTAGCATTTCCAGGGCTGTAATCTTTATGGAAGCAGACTACTACATCTGTTTCCAATGGAGTGGCTGATGGGTTCAACCACCAACCTTTCAGGTAGCATCTGAGCGCTTAACCACTGTACCACCTCTGTCCTATAGGGTCGCTACGAGTTGGAATAGACTCCGTGGCAATGAGAATGGGATGGAGTAAGTGTAGTGGAAAACACAGACTTCAGAATTAGGTTGATGTAGGTTAGATTATAAACTCTATCACTTATTTCTTAACTTCTCTGTGCTTTGGTTTCTTCATAGAAAAGTAGTTTAATACAGCTGTTTTCTTACTGTTAATCTTTGAAAAATAGTCTAACTTTACTACTAGACTATTTTAAAGTCTGCTGTCTGCAGAGTAATCCTGCCTTGAAATCAGCCTTGTAATTTAAAGGGAAAATAAAATGTAATTAAATCTGTAGAGTTTACTAATATCTTACCTTAAAGCTTTGTAACGCAACTATTTCACATATATTATTTTATTTGTACCAAATATTACATAAAATACAATTTAAAGTTTCAGTATAAAATTATCATGAATGAGATAAATATTATTCTCACTTACATGGCTTTAAAAAACAATAAGAGTTTTAAGTAACTTTCCCATTATCAGAGAGATAATAGATGGCAGAAGCATAATTCAAAAAAAGATGTTTTTCCACCAAGTGCCTGTTCTACAATCTATATTTTTGAAAGGTAAAAGCTATATATATATATATATATATATATATATAATATATACACACACCCACACACAGATATAGACACAGACACATGTGTGTGTTCTATATACATGTTGATATCTATATATCTATATCTGTATAGATAGGTGTATATAGGTATGTAAGTATACACATACATGGTAGATTATTACAAACTTTGAAGTTTAACACTGAGCATATTGGTTTTAGGTGCTGAATTAAATCCTGTTTAACTTTACTTTTTCAGTGGTTTTTAAATACCAATTAGTTAATTTGATTTTTTTTCTTTTTTTCCGGCTCATAGTCCCTAAGTCTTTGCTTTCTAGTGTTTTCTTCCTAGGCTTTTCTCTTTGAATTACTTTTCAAGAATAACCTGTTAGGTAATTTTGTTTTGTTAACCACCAACTCATCTCAATATTTCTGCTTTATAAAGCACCATTAGTCAATTTTAAGAAGTTTTTAAGCAAATAAAATATATGTGAATTATTCCAAAATACCTTAGCATAAATAATTTTCTGTGTTTAGACTGAGTATTAATATTCGAATGCATGTAAATGCCATCTCTCCATCCACTTTGGTTTTTCAAGGATGTTAAGAAAAAAGTAATTGTGTTTAAATTATGTTTGCTAGGTGGTGACAACTGGTCAACTTCTGTATCCTGCTGTAAATAGCTTCAGATGCAGTGTAGTGAAACTAATGTCTTAAACTGGAATCAACAAGAAAAGAAAGAATGTCTTCCAGAGCTATCAAATATTTCAAAAATGTTCACTTTATAACTACTAAAACCATTAGCGTTACATGTGTTTCAGTAAGTGAAAAACTTCAATTCTCTCAAATATATCACTTCTCTTAAAATAGAGCTTGTACTCTGAGACCAAGCAAACATACTACATTGTGCAAAGAAGCAAGGAAAAGAACAAAGAGAAATTAGAGAATGAATCTTTTACTTACGGAATGCTCTATAAAATTCTTCAAGTGCCAGGTGCTTGTCAGAGTTAAAATCATCATATTTCAGTAGATCATACAAAGTACAATCAGACAGATCCTTGCTAAATTCTTCCTGTTTTATCACCTGATGGGAGAATTATAAATGTACAATTATATCCTTGTCTCAATATTTTTATGGTGTAGTTGATTATTTCTAATAATCATTTAACCTGTTGCCATCGAGTTGATCCTGGCTCGTGTAATATCATGGATTTCTAGTCAATGGACAATTATTTGTAACCACTTCAATGTTATCAAGTTAAGATTGTTGTTGTTAGCTGTCATCCAGCCCATTCAGACTAATGGCGACCTTATGTGTTACAGAGTAGAAATGGACTCCGTAGGGTTTTCAAGGCTCTGATCATTCAGAAGCAGATTATCAGGCTTGTCTACCAGAGTGCCTCTGGGTGGGTTTGAACCACCAACCTTTCTGCTAGTAGTCAGTGCTTAACTGTTTACACCATCCTTTAAAAACTCATTGCTGTCGAGTTGATTCCAGCTCATAGCGACCTTATGAGACAGAGTATAACTGCCCCAAAGGGTTTTCAAGGAGTGGCTGGTAGATTCGAACTGCTGACCTTTAGTTAGCAGCCGAGCTCTTAACCACTGTGCCACCAGAGCTCCTTGTACCACCCAGGGACTTCGAAAATTAAGATAAACAAGAACCAAAAAAAACCCATTGCTGTGGAGTCGATTCTGACTCCTAGTGACTAGAATTTAGTCCAAACTTTCCCACACAAAAATCTCACCGTAGGACCCAGAAAATCTGAAGAGTAAAAGGACATTGTGTATTTCACTCATTTATTTCCTTCATTTACACCGAATCAAGAAGATATCTCCACACGAAAATTGCCCATCTCTCAGTGACCTGTGACAAAATAGAACAGTTCCGTTTCTCACCAAAAAGAGTGAGGTGGTTTGTGTCAACTTTCTTCCTCATATTGTACGTGAAAAACGAAGTTAGAGTCTTTTTCTCCTTTGCCTAAACTCTTTCCCAGCAGGAACTTAAGCATTTGGGATTGTGCGTTAACTCCCTCGGTCACAAAGGAGCGATTAAGCAAACGATTGTTTTCAGGAGCCAGATAGAATTAATGCTCTGGTTGATGATGAAAACCCGTGCAGCGTGGGGGAAGAAAATAATCAAGCTGCTATGCATCTTTGCTGTGTCGCACGGACGGAGGCTGTCACTTTTTCACATGTTACTGCTTTTGACTGTCGTCTGTCATACAATATCACTCCCCAAGATTTTTCAGACATTCCTGTTCATTGTGGGTAGCTGCATACCAGGGTCCACAGTTTTTCATATCCTCCCACATACAGAAGCAGTAATTCGTATTGCTATGATCCATGTGGCATAGTACGATTTTTAAAAAGTAGGTGCAGTGTGAGTAAAAAAAGAAAGAAAGAAAAACCAGGCTCCAAAATCTGCCAGCTCTATGTTCAGGTCCCGTTAATGACACCCTGTCAATATTTATAATTTTGGACAAATGACTTAACCTTTTCTGAATCAGAAAATGAAGATAATTACACCCATTCTCATGGTTGTTGTGAAGATTATATTTGATAATACATATAAAAGTCAGATGCAACATCTCATATACAGTAAACCAAAAAAAAAAAAAAAAACCAAACCTGTTGCCATCGAATGGTTTCTGATTCATAGCAACCCTATAGGACAGAGTAGAACTGCCCCATAGGGTTTCCAAGGAGCTCATGGTGGATTCGAACTGCTGACCTTTTGGTTAGTGGCCATAGCTCTTAACTACTGTGCCACCAGGGTTTTCTCATATACAGTACACACTCAAAAATAGACATTTGAAGTTAAGAATAAGGATTGTTCATGTAATGTGCATCTTATTCAAATAACTCATGCTAGATTTCCAGAGACTAGCCTGCGTATGTTGTGCTTGTACATTCACAGAGAGTTATTGTTTATTTTAGTACAGAACGGTGTGTTTCGGACTTCCTTTGTTATATCAATGGTAGATTGGTGATGCTAGTTTCCGAAGATGTCTGGATCCGAGTGAGCTATTCATGTAACCCTGTTTTGAACGTTCCTATATTAAAAGTACAGTTATGCCTGCGTGCAGATGAGCTGTAGAGATAGGACTGGAGATGGAGCTTAGCGTATAGGACACCAGAGCCTCCGGCCTCCCTCTCCAGCTGCCCTAGTGGGGATATGCAATGAAAGCTCATGCACTGCTAAATCGTGTTTCTACAACATAATGAGTCCTCTGATCTTGCGTAGGATCTTGATAGTCCTTTGGTTAAACTGACATTTGCTGCCTTAGAGGGGAAAAAAGGGTAAAAGGCTTATCTGCTTTAACTGATCCATATAAATAGATACTGTAGATAGCAGATATTAAGCCCTACTCTTTTGCACAGTCCAGCTGGAGGGATTAATAAAACTAATGATTGAAGCCATCTCTCCCATAAGCCTAATGAGAAAACAAAATACTGCTTTTCTATTTAGAAAGCAACAGAGGTCCCAGTCATTCTCCATCTGTCACGGGTTAGATCATGGAAAATGACGTTTCCCAGCGGGTGGTGGAGGGGGCAGTATATTTGATCTTACCTCACTATGCATTCCCTAAAGAACTGCAAGGCTAGTATTGTGATAATTTTTAGCATGCGGTGACACCAGGATGTGGGCAGGAATCTTAACAATATTTTTAGTGATTTTTAATCTGCTACTTATTTTTAAATATATGGAGAAGGAACAGAAAGTTGGAGGAAAAAAATTTTCATAATATCCTATCTTACATTTATCTCTGTTTCAGTATTCAGTTTTACTCAAATTAATATCATGGGTCAGACCAAGAGAAGAAGGGAGAGAATCTCTTCTCCTTCTTTCCTGAATGTTAGTTCTTATGTAAGAGCAGATCATGGAAGAATCAGATTGATCTTGGTATCTCATGATCACACAGCTAAGCTACGCATGCTGTTTTGCTGAGTGTGAACCAAAGAAGATCATGGTCCTGTCTAGTAACCTTTCCAAGAAAAATCCCCGCTCACCTATACGGGGTGATGTCCACGCATAAGAAAGGGGCAATTTATTCCTTACTCATCAATATTTCAAATACATGTTTGATGTATTTATTCCATGTTTAGACAATGAAATGATCCACTTAATTCATGTGTCTTAGTAACTGTACTTATCTCCTTTCGATTTTCCTGGTAGTAAGTTTTGGCACAGTCTGGAGTGTCTCCGAGGGAGGTACTTCCCCGTGACTTTTCATCCAGCCTGGAAAAGTTTCTTGAGATAGCCAGAGTTTGGAGGCAATTCCACCATATGAAAAGCTCCCCCATCTTATGAGGCCAGGGTGAATAACAGAGAGCAGAGGTAGGTGCCCAGGTCTTGGTAGGCAAAGCATGACGTGATGAAACACGGGAACTAGTTAAGTGTAGTGCAGGGTCATTAGACTCAGAGGGATGAACTCTTGTATTCTAAGTGGCCCTGGTTGATAGCCTTAAAATAATGAGAGTAGGACAGTCAGGAAGAATGCATGATAGAATACATAAGTAAATTTCCTTAGTACATAATATGAAGCCCTGCTGGCACGGTGGTTAAGGGTTTGCCTGCTAACCAAAAGGTCGGCAGTTCAAATCCGCCAGCAGCTCTTGGAAATCCTATGGGGGCAGTTCTACTCTGCACTATAGGGTCTCTGTAGGTCAGAATCAACTCTATGGCAACAAGTTTGGTTTTTCTCTCTTTTTAGTACACAGTATGTATCGTGATGGTTAATGTCATGTGTCATCTTGGGTAGGCTATGATTCTCAGTGGTGTGGCAGACACTGTACTGGTTGCTCTTCCATCATGTAATAACCTTCCATGATGGGATCAGCCCATCAGCTGAAAAGGGAGTTTCCTCGGGGGTCTGGCCTGCCTCCAAAATGTTAAGAGATGTTCTGGCAAAGCTTGTTCTCTCTCTCCACCCTGCTCTATTCTCGTCTGCTGACCTTTGTTTCCTGGGACCTAAGCCTGCAAAAGTCTCTGGCCTGCCCCCTGACCTATGGATTTGGGACTTGACAGCCCCCCACAATCCCATGAGCAGCAGAAGCCTCCAGCCTGCCCCTGACCTATGGATTTGGGACTTGCCAGTCCCCCACAATCCCATGAGCAGCAGAAGCCTCCAGCCTGCCCCCCGACCTATGGATTTGGGACTTGCCAGCCCCCACGATTGTGTGAGCCATTTCCTTGAAGTAAATCTTTCTGTATCTATACATCTCACCGGTTTGCTCCTCTAGAGAACTCCAACTAAGACAACATTAACTACTCTTTGGCACAGGAAGGTCAAGTGTGGGCTTTGGTCATTTCCTGAACTCCTTTTTACCATCTGGAACTGTTCCACAGTGTTTCTGTGCGGGCTTCTCCACACATACGTGTTACTTCAGGGCTAGTGATTCATGGCAGAGCCAGACTCGTGGACTATGTTGCCATTTTAGTATCTGGGACGGCACAAGGTTGAGTGCTGGCCTACTAACCAAAAGGATGGCTGTTTGAACCCACACAGAGGTGCTTCGGAAGGAAGGCCTGCCAATCTGCTTCTGAGAGGTCATAGCCGGGAAACCTCAAAGGAGCAGTTCTACTCGGAAACACATGGGTCACCATGAGCTGCAATTGACTCGACGTCAGTGAAGGAGGTCACTCTTAACTTCATTTGATATCTATTGTAAAGAGGTAAGAACGTTTTTCAGACTTACCAGTGTTTTGATGAACTACCTAAAGGGACATGAAATTAAATTCTTCCCTTTTTTTTTTTTTTTTTTAATCTGAGGTCCAGTGACATGAATCTTGGCCTCCACAGAGGTTAGAGTCAGTGTGGTAAGGTGGATGTATCAGCTGAATGTATGGCATGAGGGGAGCTCTGACATGCAGCTGTGTTTTCAGGCCTTCTTAGGATGACATTCATAAACAGGAATATAAGAGATACAAGGTTGATTTTGATGGCCCCAGGGCAGACCATGCTGATGAGACTCTGTGTGTCGGGGGATTGGAGGACAAAGAAATGGGATCTTCCAGTTCAGTGATTTTTGTCTTTACTCTTGGGAGTGGAGAGAAAGAGATAGCAACTGTGTACTCAGAGAGAGGTAGACCAATAGTATGCCCAATTTCTCTGAGCTCTTCTCTCTCCCGTTATAAACTATGTTTTCCCAAAGTAATAAAGGTCATATGAGAGTCACAGTGTCTTGGTAGAGTTGGGGCTCAGTGCTCTTCTATTTTAAATAAAGCTCATTAGAATAATTTGCGAAACTGAGGAGAGCCAGATATATTCACATCTTTACTTGGCAATTGTATAGATTATAGCAAAGTCTAAGTGTCCGAAAATAAACATACCCCTTTGGTAGGAATGCATGCCTGCAGGCACAATATTTAATCTTCCACATACTCAGTGTGGGTTATCTCCGCTACTACTTAGTCGGAGCACTTTCTTGTGTCCTTCCTTCCTTCCTTCATTTCTTCCTTCCTTCCTTCCTTCTTTTCTCCCTTCCTTCCTTCTTTTCTCCCTTCCTTCCTTCTTTCCTTTATTCCTTCCTTCCATCTCTTTTCATCCTTTTCTCCTTCTTTCTCCTACCTTCTTTTCAACCAATTTGGGCCAAGAACTGTGCCAGGGGCTGGAGGTAAATTAGTAAATGAGAAATGCATAGACCTTGTCCTCATGGAGTTTATATTCTAGACAGGATGAGTGGAAACATGTAATCAAATAATTAAACAAACTAGATAATTACGGATTGTCAAAAGTGCTCTTAAAGAAATAAACAATACGAAAGGACAGAGAGTAAATAATTAATACTACCAATTATAATTTTTAAAATCATATATAATGATGTTATCCTACCACAAGGTTTTTAAAATAAAGAAAAAAATAATTCTTCTAAATTCTCTTTTAGATTTTCTAATGTGCCTAACATAACATTAAAAACAAAATGAAAAGAGCAATGTTAATTGTTTTGGAAGACCAGCTGAAGTGATAACATTATTAAGCCACTTGTGGGAAGGAAAGTATTTTATTTTTAAGGCATCCTATATGGCTCACAAAAATTTTCTGAACATTAATGCAAATTTTGAAACGCACCTTGACATTCTGAAGGAACAATTCTACAAATAATATGCTTAAAATCTTAACAAGCTAAATGTTACTATTCCAGTTGTCCTGTAAATTTTATGAATAGCACTTAAAAAAACAAAAAAGAATATCTGAAACTAGCTACTAATGCTTCCAGATACATTTAAATATTTTTAATTGTAGCCCAGAGCTACACCTAAACCAACAGAGTTAGTAGCCTTCAGATTTCTCTAAGTGCTAATTGTTCCCGCTATTATTATTCTGAAATCTTTATCACTTGCAAAGAAATCCCCAGGGCAACTAGGATTAACCTTCTGGCATTGGCAATGCCATTCTAAATCAAACATCTGGTTTCTGCTGCCTTATTTTGGATACTCTACAGGCTTATTACCTTTTAAATTGTTAAACAGGATTAGTCACCAAGGCACTCCCTGGAAGTCCCACTGATCTTACTTCTCCATTTATAAAAGTAGTTATTTTTTTGTGCTTAGTTTTTTCCCACTAAAGCAGTTTTTTTTTTTGGGGGGGAGTAGTTTAATCTATGGCAAAATAAGTCTCACTAGTCTCATAGTATATAAATATGTTGACTAAATTCTAGAACATTTTAAAAATCTTCTAAATTGTTATTTGCTTTGCCAACTTGCTATAAAGAGTGATTGTTTACTGGTTTATATAGCAGTTCTAATAATTTATAAAGAAAAATACTCGGTATGTGTAAATGTTGCAAAAATATTATTGCTGTGCCCATCTTGTTAGCTTAAAAATGCCTACTCTTATATGTTCTTACATTTTACTTAATTTTGTAAATGTATTCACATATGGCAGTCATTGAGCAAATGACATTTTAAGTCAAATATGTATAACATAATAATCTAAGTCCTGTGAACAAGTAGTTCTTTTTATTATTTTAATAAAGAGTTAGCATGTGTGCATATTAGGGAAATATTTTATTCTAATATGCATTCCTAATGTGAATCAGCCTATTAAAATGACATAGAATGTAAATGGAGAAAAACTTAAATCAATATATTCAGTACAGCTGTTGCTTAAACTCCGCATCACAAGGGAATGGCAATCCTCCCTTAAGTTCTAGGACTGGTTATTTTGTCAAACGGGGAGAGGCTAAAGGAGCAAATTTCCCAAGGCTCTGGCGCCATCACACCACATGAACCTGGGGTTTTCAGCTCCCAAATTCAAGGCAGCCCCTCCTCTGGGGGAAGCCTGTTGTGTCCCCCCTCATCCTACCCCTAAACACCAAACACAGGGCTAGAAACTGTTGTCCCATCTCTTCTAATAGGCTATTTGGACAAACCCCATTGTGCCTCAAACCTTGGTTTACCTTTAACTCTGAGACCCAGTCTCTTCATGTTGCTGAGTGGAACCCAGCCCTCACTCCTCTCCTCCCCAAACCAACCATCCTGCCCCCTGAAATCCTGCTCAGAGCTCAGCAAGTTCCCTTTCGTCCTCAGTCCCTTATAAGAAACATGTTCTTCACCATCTTTCCTTTACAAAATCTGGCTGCTCCTTAAAAAACTTCTTGACAGGTAGCCTTAACAATCGGAGGTTACATATATCTCTATCTCTGTCTGTCTATCTATCTATCTATCTGTCTGTCTGTCTATCATCTATCATCTATCTATCCATCTCTCTATCATTTATCGATCTATCATCTATCGATCTTTCTATCATCTATCATCTATCTATCAGTCTATCTATCATCTATCACCTATCTATCTATCATCTATCTAGTCATCTATCTATCATCTATTGATCTATCATCTATCTATCGATCTTTCTATCTATCATCTATCATCTATCTATCTATCATCTATCATCTCTCTATCTATCAATCTGTCTATCTGTCTATCATCTATCTACCTATCATCTATCTATCTATCATCTATCTATCTTTCTATCTATCATCTATCTATCGTCTATCTATCTATCATCTATCTATCTATCTATCATCTATCTATCTATCTTTCTATCTGTCAATCATCTATCTTTCTATCTATCATCTATCTATCTTTCTATCTATCATCTGTCTCTCTATCATCTATCTATCATCTATTTAGCTATCATCTATCTATCATCTATCTATCTTTCTATCTATCTATCATCTACCTATCACCTATCTATCTATCATCTATCTATCAATCATCTATCATCTATCTATCATCTACCTATCACCTATCTATCTATCTATCTATCTATCGTCTATCTATCAATCATCTATCATCTATCTATCTATCCTCTATCTGCCTATTTATCTATCATCTATCTATCTATCATCTATCATCTATCTATGATCTATCTACCTATCATCTATCTATCTATCATCTATCTATCTATCTAGTTTGTTATTTTACTTATTTATTTCCATCACACCCATTCTACCTCAGTGCAGGAAGGGTGGTAAATAAATGAAAGACTCCCTATTAGCAGTTTCAGATGATCTCTCTCCCCATAACCAGTCCTCTCCACATAGATAAATGGAAAAAAGGAAAGGAAGGAGTTATTTTTGTGTTATTCCTATTTAACAGAAAATTCTAAAGAGCTTCATTCTTGAAAAATAAATTGTGAAGTATATGACAGCAAAGATACTTTAATTAAAAGGTCTTCTAATTTTATCCTAAATTTCTAGAGTTCAATTCTTTAAATCCCAATGCCTGGCACTTAGTAGCTACTCAATAAATGTAAACAGAATTAAAAGAGATAGAGAGAGTGAAAATGTTTTATATCATTAATTAGCTGGCTTGACAAGAAATATAATCTGCTAAAAGGTTGATCCGAGATGAAGTCTCTAAGTTATGCTATCCCAAAGCTTAGAAATACTCGCATAATGTGACCATTATTTCTTAAGGTCAAATTTTTGAAATAAACCATCAAATTAACTAGAAAATATGAATGGCATGATGTTGTGGACATAATTTATCTGATTTTCTTTTCAAATCTACATGTACTGCCAAGCACATCAGCAGAATCCACCTCAAGATACGTGATAGAAATCATCAAGAAGTCAGCCAAAGTTCATCACTGCTACCCATCGTTTTCCTAGTCACCCAAGATAGGATTCTTTTCTCCATTATTCTGTGATTGTTGGATATATTTTTGGAGAAATCTTGTGTCCCTTCTTTTACATCGACTACTGGGCACACGTAGTTCAGATTCTAAATCTGGGTATTACAGTTTCCTTCACATAAATGTGTCTTTCAAAATCACACACAGGTATTTTGCTGTTTTCCCAAAATGGATCTAGAGAAAGGCCTAGTGTTTAGTGAAAACAGTCCATATAATAGCAAGTATTTTTTTTTAACACTTGTCAGTGGGATATCAGTTTTCAAAGAAATGAAACACAATAGCATTGACTTAATATTAAGACCAGATTGAACATATTGTATTTGATCCTTGATCATTGAAAAAGTAGTTGTCGGTAATTCAGCACCATTTTAAATCACTTATTTACATTGTGCAATAGATGTGCTTAATTGCTCATCAGCAGTATTCTTCAATATTGGATAAACCAGCTTGGTTGACTGATAGAAAATTAAACACTGCATAGACTCTATAATACCTGCAGAGGTCTTGGAAATTCTATTAAATAGGGAAAAGTTTATTCCTTTAGGTACTTAAGGAATAAAAGTCTGTCAAAAGTAGATCTCTCTTTTTAAACTGTAATATACCATGTAAACGTTACTTGAAATTAATAGTATTTGATAGAATGATGAAACTCAGCTCTTAAAAATGTTGTTATTCTCACTTTTACATAATATTAAGCATATATTTTATGAATGCAGCATAAATTCACACATTTAAGTAAGCTTGCTAATTGAATAATTAACATACCTGAGTTAGTTCATTAATATCTATAAGTCCATTGCTGTCAGCATCAAAGTACTTAAACATCTGATCCACCAAAAGCTTCTTCCGAAATATATCATCACTGTTAGGATTTTCATTTTCTTGTGTAATATACTTCTGATTTTGTAAATCTAAAAGCATGTTTTTCATCTTGCTATATTCAGTTGTCTTGCAATTGTCTCCTGTAACAGAGAAACAAGTCATTCTCAAAGCTAAATTATTAAAAAGAAATCGTATATTTTAATAATATTTAGTAACTGATATTTTATGCATAACATACTTTGTACAAAATTTGTGAGTTGGCACTTTTTTGTACTTTAGAACTTTTAAGGGAAAAAGGAATGGACTTTCCAGTTTAAGACAGAAAACTTAGATTTGTACCAGGTCCAATAACAACATATTTACTGTATATTTTCTGTATAAGCTAAAAGCATTGGTACTACAATGACATAGGAAAAAAAACGATAGCTCCAATTGTCTCCAGTGTTTAAATACATTATCGTAGTTCGAATCCTCACTATACATCCATATAGTGATAGTTTTAGAGGCAGAAAATGAAGCGCAGTGAGATGAAATGAATTGCCCAAGGCAAAGTGTTAGATTACGATAGATTTTGCTCTTAAACTCATATATATCTGGCTCCAAAATACTACACCACACTTTTAAGCTTACGGACGTTTTAGACATTTGGATTTGTTTTGAAGAAATTCATGTATATAAAAAAAAATAAACAAAGATTTACATTTTCTTCTCTTAATTCTCTATTAATTCTGACTATTCTTATGAACGTAAGCTCATACTTATATTCCTCCAAAAGTCTTTTCTTGTTGCTCTGATGTTCATTTATCTCCCTATTTAGAGCACGAGGTGAATGACAAAATAGGTATTTTCAATCTCTATCTTGACGTTTTAATCTTGCAACTTTCATCTCCAAACATAAGTACAACCTCACTGAAGGAACAAGGCCTTGCAGATTATCAGCGTCTCCCATATATTAACCACAGTTAATAAAAATAATTGCTTGACTTAATGTATCAAAAATAGCTACAATTCCTCTAGTATTTTCAGATAATTATTTTACAAAGGATTTTACTTATAATGGTCCCATGATGCTGCCTTTATGAATAGCGCATTGAAATGAAATGTATACTGCCGATGGCAAATGTGACATAAAAATGCATTGCAAAAATACAGTGAAAAATGTAACTTGCACATCAAACATAGGGTGTTATATTTACCGTGAATTTTTTACAACATAGTTTAAAAAAACCCTAACTTTATAATTGTATTCAATTTTGACAATTAGGCTTTGACAGCATCTACAACTTTAAAGGAACATTTCTAAAGATTTTTAAATATATGTCTGAGAAGCCTGGGGTGGAAAAACAATGTTTGAAGTCTCATTCTCTTTCAAGACAGGATGGAAAACAATGGCTTGAAGAGAGATGGGAGAGCATCTCTCTGTTCAGAGACACGGCAGCATTAGTGTTTAGCAATCCTGTTCAAAAGTTCTTCATACACAATGTAAGCTCGGTGCTGCTCTTTAAGACAATTTTGCATTATTCTGTTCTTGGTAAAGAATGATAATAAGAATGAGTTTTCACAGCAGCAGACAACTCGCTGACAAAAGAAAAGTCATGGAATCCAGAGCCAGAGCTGGCGATTTTGGTGTCTGGGAAAGCAGCACAAAAAGGAGCCTTCAAGTGTGTGTGCGCACACGCCACGAAGAGAGAGACGTATGCTGAAAGGTGGGAAAATGATAACAGGCGGCTCTGACAGCCTTCCTTGTGGCTTTGCTGCGCGACCTGCGCCTGCAGCTCGGCTCTTCTCTACTGACAGGCTGGGGGCTGACGTGGGACCACCCGCGGTGGAGGTGATGAGAACCGGGGTGAGAGGCTGATGGCAAACCAGACTTAAAGGATGCCAACCTTTTAACTCCTGTTTAAAATGGACGGGATAGAATCCTGGCTATCGCACTAGAATTCTGATCGGATCACACCAGCATGATCATCATAATGCTCTCTATTAATGCTTTCACTCCACAAATAGTTCTAAATTTCTTCTCCAAGTCCAGACATTTGGTAGTTTCTGACCATACAAAGAGAGTAACAATAAAAACAATATAACAATTGCAGTTAAAACATTCACATTCTAGGGTGATGGGCACTAAACAGTTATAAAATTATGTGACACTTTATAAAAATTATAAAATTAATAAAATATCTCCATCACAGATGTTTTTAGTAATACATCAGCACTTGTGCTATTAATAATAGATCACAGAAAGGCAGGCTTCCTATATACCAGGAGTGCTACACGTATGTTATGGATTGAATTATGTCCCCCTGGAAGTATGTATTGGAATCTTATCCCTTACATCTGTAGGTGTAATGCAACGTGCTGTAAAGTAACGGAATCATCTTGCACAGGGCAATGTCATGTAATGCAATCAACTGATCAGTTGAGATCATGCCAGCGTAGGGTGGATGCTAAGCCTACTCACTTCTGAGATACATGAAGAGCAACATAGACACAGAGAAACACACTGACAAGGGTAAGACAGAAACCATGTGAGGATTTTCTGTAAGCCAAGGAACCGAGGAATTCCTGGGGCTGCCTACAAGGAAGGAATCAACACAGCCAAGACCTTCATTTGGACTTTCAGCCTCTAGAACTGTGAGAAAGTTCTGCTCTTTCAATCCACCCATTCGTGGTCCTTCTGTTACAGCAGCACGAGGTAACTAAGACAACACATTACATAATTTATTCCTCACAACAACGCAAAAAGAAAGGCAAAATAATTTTCAGCATTTTACAGATAAGGAACTAAGGCAAAGAGAGAAAATAATATGTCTGAGTTCACAGAGCTAAAAGGGGAATAATGATCTCAAGACACATGCAATCTCTCCCTTTATCCAATATACTTAATTTTTGAAAATAGTAAATGCTTACTACCCTTTGAATAAGCATCAGTGTGAAGGGACTAGAGCTAGCATGGTTACTAAAGAAGAGTATGTATTTAGAAAGTAACCATAGCTAACTAAATATTTATGGATTCATCCAAGAATAGCACCAGGCTGGAAGGTGAGAGGTTTTTGTTTGTTCATTTGACAGGTTCCCTTTCTCACAGCTTAACTGAGGAGCAGAGCTTGCTTGATGCAGCTAGGGGATAGAGACGCTGCCCTGGATATACTTCCTTCTCGGGGAGATGGGCCTGTGACCATCTCTGCTGTCTCTGATGGAGACACCAAGAATATACAGGTGAACAAGACAAGCAAAGGCCTTATTTGGTGGCATCTAGGCCAACTTCCTTCCTGCTGAAGGAGTGCCATGGAGCCTTGCTGATTCTCGACTCTGAGTCATTCTGAGGGCAATTAAAATGCATTTGGCCAGGTGAGGCCTGGAAGAATTGACATTGTCTACACACAGATGATGGGGCCAGTGTAGCTGGCAGTGCCTCTCCAAGTTTCCATCGACTGAGGATCATTACACTTGATAAATCTGATAGTACAACCATCAGTTTTGAGCATATGGTAAGTGCTAAAAATTACAGCTTATAGCAATTATGCTTAGTGTACATGGTTTTGTAATTATGCTTTTGTACTTCTATCCTATCCACCAGAAAAAAAAAGGTATTATTTATATTCAACACAAATGTATTCAAATAAAATTATATAAATATGATCTTATTAAGCTTTTTTCTTTTTTTTAAATTTTTTTATTGT